TTGTCCATGCTGCAGAGCAGTAAAAGGTAAAAGGCTGGGCTAGAACAGCAAAGTCTATATTTGAGATGTTTGTTTTGTGATATTTGTTGTATATGCCTTCTACAAAATTGACTTACCAGTGTGAGGATATGTTAGCAGAGAAGAGTATGCCTTTACACTAACCTAAGTAGTAATAAATGAAATGTGATGTTCAAGTGGATCTCTCTTGAGTATGAAATGTAGAAGATGAAGTTCTTATATCATCCAAGTACATGAAACTATTGTGAAAATATTGAATGAGTCACCAAGGATATGAATATCTTCATAACACTGGGTAGCAAATATGATTACCATAGATTTTTCTAGATGTTAAATCAGAATGGGACTGACTTGCTAAATTAATTATGAGGTATTTAAGGATAGGAGTGTATAATTTTATCAAGACAAGGAAGTATGTCGAAAGCTTGATGAAAGAGTGAAATAGCTTTGAATTTAGAAGCTTATTTGACCCCTCATGCTTAATCCTCCAAGTGTTGATTCTTACCAGCGACCAGAGTTGCACATTTTGTTCAATGACTAAATGAGCTGAGCCCTGAGAGGAATGGGAGAGAAGAGAGAGAGAGAGGAGAGAGGTGGTTAAGAGCTCAATTGGTTTGCAACCGAGGTACACCACTTATTAATCATGTAATCTTAGACACTGAGCCTCAGATGACTCATCTTCCGATAATATAGTATTGACCACTTGGGTCACTATAAACACAGGGTCTGGTCCATAGTAAATATGCAAAGAGCAGGTGCTGTATTTGTTACCACAAATAATAAAATGATTTTTATTTTACGCTACTATGGGATTGGTTGTATAGCAATAGATAACTGAAACCGTGGGCTGAGTATAATTCTAATCTATTGTTATGGCAGAGGTGACTCAAGAAAGGGGAGAGGTTGACCACTGTAAGGAGTGTTTTTTGTTTGTTTTGTTTTAAGCAAAAGCCTAATTTCTTCTCATCTGATTCTTTTACCTTTTCTATAGAAAATGTGCTCAAGGATGATACTTTTAACAAGCTGGCACAATTGCAGTATAATCCTTTAAGAATCTTCTGTGAGCCCTGGCCGGTTTGGCTCAGCGGTTAGAGCGTCGGCCTGCGGTCCTGAGAGACCCGGGTTCGGTTCCCGCTAAGGGCACGTACCTCGGTTGCAGTTTGTCCCCAGCCCTGGTCGGTTGTGCCGGTGGCAGCCGCTCGATGTGTCCCTTTCACATCGATGTTTCTCTCTCTCTCTCCTTCCCACTCTACCTGAGCAAAGAATCTTCTGTGATCCCTGGCCAGTTTGGCTCAGCGGTTGAGTGTCAGCCTGCGGACCAGAGAGTCCTGGGTTCAGTTCCTGCTAGGGGCACGTACCACAAAAAAAAAAGAATCTTCTATGAAGATTCTAAAAAGATTCTATGCCTTAATCAACTTGGTGCAATGAATCCTGAATTGCTACTCATAGTCTCTTACATAACTGTGTAACATAATGTGGGTATGGGTGGGAGCGATTTGTATTTCTCATCACTTGTAGCCAAACATGGAAATTTAAGATGGATACATATTTAATTGAAATGCCCTGTACCTCAAGAAATCAAAGCACCAGTAGATATTTTTGGCTTATAAAGGAAAGCCTTGTTTAAAATTATGTTTATTGAATATCGACTGGCTGACTCTTTCTTACTGCAGTTGTACAAACTAGATGCCCCGGAATCAGGAGGAGGGGTAGGAAGAGACCTGCACTGTGGGAGGAAGAGGGCAGATCATAGTGGTTGGAGATATGATCACTGAATGTCAGTCAGTCTCTTTCCTTCCTGCATATTCCGTTCATAATATTTTGATCTGGTTAGATCGGTAACAGTTGTATTTATACAGCTTTTGACTAGGAGAGCTGTATCAGCAGGACAGTTGTGTTGCCAAATCTTATTTGCCAAACAGGAATATCCAGAGTGCCATTCTCATTCAGTTCACATGTGATTAATTGGTCAACAGCCAGCTAATAAATCTGATAGTAGCTTTTGCTATAATTGATAAAATTTCTTCATACAACATAACCTAGGAGTATACATATGTGTATATATATATGTGAGTATGAATATATATACACATATATAAATTTTATAGGTTTGTATAATATCAAAATATTTGCTGCAACATAAATATACAAAGAGGACCATGTTACTACAATTGAGGGCTATGTAATTTTATTTACCTCTTGGGATTCAATTGAGCTATTGATTCCATGGCAAATGTGTTTTGATTAATACCATGGCAGGATATGTTTGACAGCAATTTCAAATTATTAGAGTTTATTACATATTTAAAGTCTATAGTCAACTGAGATTGTATCTTATTTTAGCATAGAGAGATAAATCTATTGATCAACCCCCCCCCCCCCCCCCCCCCGCCACCCCAGGACTGTATCCTTAATGCTGCAGAACCAACATGTGCTCTATAAAAACCATATACCTTTCTGGATGGTCTGCAATAGGTTCTGGTGCTCAGTGCTTATGTTTGTGCTAAACAGGGTTAGGGTCATGAATGCAGAAATTAATCTGCTTCATATATATTTACAGTATAACTTTCAGGCATATATGCAGATTGAATCTGCACTAGTTGAAAAGTTAAGGATTGGTTCCTTAGCAGTGAGCATTGTTATTTATGGTGTTTGTTAGGGTGTGGCTATGAATGATCCTAGGAAATCATGGGAGGAGAAATGTTTCCAGGGAAAATTTATTCTTAAAACTTTTTTGAAAATATGTTTTATCTTTCCACTTTTACATAAAACGGAAATGCACACCCTGTGTTTCATACATGTAGAATTATTCAAGAACAGCAATAAAAAGAAAACCATCGTGAAACTACAGTGATATTTAAATGTGCACAATGGAACATGAACCCAGTCAGGTTTGCATGATTTCACAGTTTTAACCTCAAAGGCTCTGGTTAGCTTGCATTTTTAAATTAATGAGTTTATCGCAGCCAGTGATGAAAACGGTTCAAGTATATCAGCTGTAAATTGGTACAAAGCACTGAAAGGGACATTAGCCTCTAATCAGATTCTAACAGTTCATTAAACCTGCCTTTCCAGGATGCTCTTTGTCCTTTCCCCTCCTTTGCAGAGCATCTTCTTCCCTGTCCCTCTGAACAAGACCTCCTCCCGGGTAGGAAGCAATATCAACTCATCCTTCATTGTCTACCACCCAAACAGCCTACGGGATGCTTTGTTACAGTAGATTCCCGGCTGCTGGGCAAGGCAGGGGGACTCGAGGGCTGGTTGATGCTGGGAGGCTGTCCTGGGACTGGATGGTGGCAGGCCCCGCCGGCTGCCTCCCACCAGAGAAGCAAGTGATACATGAGGATGTGAGATCCATGCCTGATGTGTCAACGACTCACCAGCCTCCATGAAAGGATTTTTAAGCTTGGAACAAATTAACCGAGCTTGCCAGTGATACCCAAGGTCCTTCTGCTCTAAGCTGCCTATTAGGATGCAAAATCCCTAAAAAAATATGGACGAAAAGCAAAGATTAAAAAAAGAAACACAGCATCCTGCCAATTTTAATAAAATTGTACATTTCTAGGAAAAGAACATGACAGTCATTTATTTTCTTCTTTTTATTACCTAATAGACTAAATACCATGGAATTTGTAAATGTTCATTAGTTAACGCTAGAGTAAAATTGTTTTTTCTCCTTGTGGATTTTTCACGGCAAACATTTGTGATAAGAGACTGTAAATTTTATTTCTGAGAGTATTTTTCTTAAACAAAAAGAGGAGTCAAGAAATAGGAGAAATAATTAGAGTGCTTCACTGTATTGCTCTCTGTTGGCATTATTTGGTAATAGAAATATTTAATTGAGGATTTATTGAGGTGGAAGTTGTTCTTATTGAACTATCTGGTAGAAAAGCAAGTATTTAGGTGAAAGGCTAAAACCCGAGGTTTAGAAATAATATTAACCTTTGTCACTAGGTAGACAAAATATTTAGAAACAGATGTCTTTTTTTGTTTTTTTTTTTTAGTAAGAACACTTTAGTGCATGTAGTTACATTCTATAAGTGAGCAAAGGAGCCATTCTAAAACCTCAGTCAAATGTAGTCATTTTCACTTTTTAGTCAGTGTACGAGGACAAAGTTGGCATTCTAAACGTGTTTTAAAACACAAGCTTGATGTTGGCCTTAAGCAAGCACTGATGAGAGGCTTTCTGACTACCTTCATAGGTTATTGACTTCAGAAAATCCCCCAAGCAGTAAAACCTAGGAGAAAATAACCTTGATTTAATCTTTTTATAAATGTAGTTTGAAATTCTACTGAGTCACAATAGAAAGAAGGTTTTCCTTTCAAGAGGTGGCTAATTGAGCCCAGCATATACAGAACAAAAACCAAATTATTTATTCTTTGGTTATGATTTCACCTTAAAAATTTACTCTTAATCCAAGGCTAATGTTAGTTGTTTCTAAAGGTGTATGGGGTTGATATGTAAAAATCATCATTTGATCAGAATTGCCATGAAACCAAAATTCAACATGTCTAGAACAGTGTTATCTTATTTTTAATAATTTGAGACAATAATTCGAGAACACATACATTCTTTTTATCTGTTTTTTATTGTTGTTGTTGTTTGTTTTTTGATGGATTTCTGTACTCAGCACAACCTCCAGAACTAAGGAAGAAAGACACTTGCCTTGTATTTCCTTCCAGTATAGTAAAAGTGTGATGGATTGTTCCAGCCTCATATAAATTAATGTAAGATTTCCTTATGCCGGTTTATTGCTGTCTGACCTCCAACCATGAGGTCAGAAAATCAGACTGATTAATTCAACTTCTTGGTCATTATTTCAAATGAAAGTTCAGAATGAGCAAATAATTGGGTATGCTGATATTCTCATTTAATTATGCTTCATTGTTAAAAAATTAGGTTTTCAGTGTTAAATGCACTACAAGGATGGCCTCTTTTGAATGCTTTGAAGCTGAACTTACCTCTCTCTTTTGATTTCCAGAATATCAACACCTTTGAAAACAGAATGTTAATGCTTGATGGGATGCCGGCAGTCAGAGTTAAAACAGAGCTTTTGGAATCTGAACAAGGGGTAAGTAGAAGTTTCTGGGGTTGCCACACCCCCTTCTTTTTATGAAGGTGGCAGTCACTTCCAGAGCATCCTGAGGTAGGCAGGATTTTCCACTTGCCTGAGCTTTATTCTCTTGAGTAAAATCATCTGAGACTGTGGTTGATTCTCACCCATTTGCAACCTCAAGTATTACTAACCTGGAAAAGATAACCTCCTGGAATTTGGAAGGTTTCGTGACCTTACAAGAAGTATATGCCTTTATTTAAATTGGTGCATGTTTTGAAGAGCTAGTAAAAATCCAAAGCAAAGAGGAAATATTTTAAAAAATAGAATGAATATAACCTGAATGTCAAAATAGCTTGGTTCTTTTTTAGTTAGGAAATTGCAATGTCTGGATATGGGAATGTTACGGTTTGTTGGGTGGGTTTCTCTTTTGACATTTGTACTTATCCTTTTTCATGCTATGAGGGTTGATAACATTGAGGTCACTGAGTTTGAAAAGAGCAAAAAAGCAAAAGAAAGCTTATTTAACAGTGTATAGTCAAATTGACGAATTAATTTATGGCTACTAAAAATATAAAGGTTTAAGAGCACAGCTAGATTTCTTAAAAAGGATGTTGGAGACTTTGTAATTGCTAAAATTTGTAGCTTCACCAGTTAAAACTATAATCAGGTCAGTGTGATCGCTTGCAGCATCAGCTGACCACGTTTTGTATTTCAGTGAGCCAGCATTACTCTTGTATCTGAGTGTGCACTACCTACCTATCTTATTAAACCACCACCAAAAATTAAAGAAATGCATCTGTGTGTCACAACAGTGAATAAGAAAGCCTGAGGCTGGTGCATTGATTGGACTCTGAAATTATTCTGGAAATCCTAGTTTTGAGACTCATTTTATAAGACATGGACATCCTCCTCCTCAGTCTTTCAGGCAAGAAAAGTTAGTCTGTGGTTCAGGCTGCAGGCAGCGTTGTAAAGAAGAGGGGGCGGGGGAAGGGAGGGATGAGATGAACCGAAGAATTTATGTGCATGTATAACCAATGGACATAGACAACGATTCTGGGGGCGGGATTGGGGGTGGGATTGGGAGGAAGGTGTCTGGGGCGGGGGACATTTGTAACAAAAATAAATTGATAAAAATTGCAGCAATAACAAAGAATTGCTACTTTACATGGACCTCATGCTTCCTTGTAGCCTGAAGGCATGTGTTGTTTTCTTCTTCTTGCTATAAATAGTCCCTTTGGTCTTTTGCTACTATGTAGTCTTTGTGTATCCCCCACCTATCCAAGGAATTCGGGACCTTATTAGCATGTTTGAAAGCTTAAAGAAAGACTGGAAACAGGCCTAGGTTAGCCGCTCTCCTTTTATATGTGGTCATGTTTCTTCGATCAGACTGTAAGCACTTAGAGGGCAAGAACTATTTCTTATATTTTTCTGGTAGTTTCTGGCACATGGTCTCTGCTTAGTCATCTTTGCTTTATGCAACTCATCCAGGCATTGCAGCTGGCATGGTGAAAACTAGGAAGCCAGTCAGTAGCTAGTTAAAACCTGCCCATCTACCTAATAGTGTTGTTGTGACCATAAAAATAAAAATGGGAAATATTGGAAATACACTTTCTTATTAATGGCAGAGATCTTCATCTTGTACCCATGGGACCTGGATCGATATGCTGGCGAACTGGACAGATATGCTGGTGACCTGGACAGATATGCAGGTGACCTGGACAGATATGCTGGTGACCTGGACAGATATGTTGGTTACCTGTACAGATACGCTGGTGACCTGGATAGATATGCAGGTGACCTGGACAGATATACTGGCAAATTGACCCCGTTCTGTATACCTCCCTTCTGTTTGTTCTCTGATTCTTGCATCCTTAGTTTTGTGATATCTAAGGAGATAGTTACTGCAGCCTCCTGAAACGGGACGTCAGGGTTCTTCAGGCTGGTTGGTAGCACGGTCCCCTGTGATGCACTTCAGGGCACGGCAGGGAGTGTCGGGATGACTCCGTGACCTTTGGTGTGTGTGCCACCCTTGCAAGAGCTTCCCAAATGCTGCCAGCCGCTGGATGTGACATGTTATCAAGAAAGGACTAAAGCAGGTAGAAGAGTCCTGGAACTGTTACACCCAGAGGTAAGGCAGAGAAAGGCTTCGCCTCAGAGACAGGAAACGTGATTCTGTCCCCGGCCCTGGAGCTGACGGATGGAATGGCTTTGGGAAGCGACTTCCTATCTCGGCCTCTAGGTCTTGTCCGTACAGCGGACGCCAGGCCTTCCCAGGTTCCGTCTGACAGCCTGTGATTCCGGTGGGCACAGGGAGTGAGAGAAAGCATTTCTAATTATGAGTTTAATAATAATCCTGCTGCAGTGAAGCTACCTGTGTGTGGAAGTGGAAATGCATCGACTTTCAAGGGAGACACACCTGCGTTCAGATGTTGCTCAGCCGTGTGCACCGGGCACATCAGGGCTTCGTGTGCTTGTTTCTCCTCGCCTGCGAAGTTAGGGGACCACCTCCCTCCCTCCCAGCGGCTTCTGCCTGGGTGGGTGCTGAGTGAAGATTCTCCTTGTGAAGAAAGCCAGGAATCAAAAGGGCGCCATTGTTTCCGTTTCTATTACTGCAATTTTTATAAGGCATGTAGTAGAGATTTTAACATCTATATTAATTTATAATTTAAAAATAGATTTAAGGCCCTGGCCAGTTTTTCTCAGTGGTTAGAGCATCAGCCCTCGGACTGACGGATTTCAGGTTTGATTCCCAATCGAGGGCACATACCTGGATTGCAGGTTCCAGTGTTTTTTTTACATCGATGTTTCTCTCTCTCTCTCCCTCCCACCCTCCATTCCACTCTATCTAAAAATCAGTGGAAAAATATCCTTGGGTGAGGATTAACAAAATAAATAAATAAATAAATAAATAAATAAATAATAGATGTAAGGAAAATCTCAAATTGGAGCTCTTATTTTTTATTTGAATGTTTATTTAAGTATATCTGAAGATATGTTTTAAATTCGGATTAGATTTTATCTTGTGAAAAATAAAATAATGAAGCCAGAAATCAATAATTAAAATTAACTTAAACATGACTTAAGATTCTCATGTGATGATGACATTTGGCCACAATGTTTTCTAAAAAAAAGAGTTTTGAGCCCTGGCTGGTTTGGCTCAGCAGTTAGAGTATCAGCCCATGGACTGAAGAGTCGTGGGTTCGATTCCAGTCAAGGGCACGTACCTCAGTTGTGGTCTGTCCCGGCCCTGGTTGGGGTCATGTGGGAGGCAATCAGTCCATGTGTCCCTCTCACATCGATGTTTCTCTCTCTCCCTCCCTCCCTCCCTTCCACTCTATCTGAAGATACATAGAAAAATATCCTCAGGTGAGGATTTAAAAAAAAAAAAAAGAGTTCCGAGTGCATATACTGTAAGAGCACTTACTGATATATTTACAGATGAAATGATTAAATGTCTGGGACTTGCTGCAGAGTAAAATGGAGGGAAGAATGGATGGGGACAGACAAGACTGGTCATGACTCCATCACTCTCAAAGCTGGGTGATAGGTACAGGTGACTCATTGAACTGTTCTGCCTAATGTTGTATATGTCAGGAGTTCTTGAAAGTAACTTGTTTCAAAAAAGGTAAGAAGAACTGTCAAAATTAAAGTATATATATTTTAAAAAAATCATAGGTGCAGCCCTGGCTGGTTTGGCTCAGCGGTTAGAGCATCGGCCTGCGGTCCAGAGAGACCCGGATTCGGTTCCCGCTAAGGGCATGTACCTCGGTTGCAGTTTGTCCCCGGCCCTGGTTGGTCATGTGGGTGGCAGCCACTCGATGTGTCCCTTTCACGTCAATGTTTCTCTCTCTCCCTCTCTTCCTCTCTCTCCCTCCCACTCTATCTGAACAAAAAATAGAAAAATGTCCTCGGGTGAGGATAAAATAAAAATCATAGGTGCAGAGTTGTCAGGGGAGACATGAGAAGCATTGCTCAGTCACCCTCACTGTTGTCTAAGGCCTGGAGAATCTGCCCAGGTGGGAGCTGACCCGAGTCCCTCCACCTACCACAGCAGCGTGGAAGCCCTTGGTTACTTTGTCTCTCTTCCCTTGCAGAGGTGGGTGCACCTCTGATCTTGGGCTGGTGGATAGAGACTGGTGGGAGAGAGAGAGATGGAGATTTTTGTCAATTTTAAGTGCTCCAAGCAGTCGGTGTCTGTGAGAGAGCCCAATGTCTCTGCCTCATCCGTGTAGCTGAGAAGGGCACAGGTATGTCAGCAGACAGGTGTAGGTTAATTTGTGTTCTCCCTGGCTTACTAGCAGAAAATAGCTTCAGTCAGACCAGATATCCCTCTGAGCTCCCTAACTTTAGAGGTGGGGCAAAAGAGAATAATGCTCTTTTCCCTGGAGGTAGCTTATGGTAACTTCTGCAAACCATTCTGCAGGACATTTGTAACAAGGTGATGAGGACATTTCTGTATTACACAGAACTGACTAGCACCATTAAGTCAACTCGACTGTAATTTCCTTAAGAGCAGAGTTTGTACTTTCTGTTTCTTCCTCCTCCTCATCCCAGCAAAAGGAATTTAGAGATAGGCAGGGCTCAATAAATAACAATTAATTCAGATGCTCTTTATTGTGAAAGCCAGGGTCACACTGGAAATGAGAAGATTTTGAGATAGGTACTATTTTGGAAAAGACCCCAATCCTTAGACTTTATTTAAAAAAAAAAAAAAAAGGGACAAGTTTTGTTGCTGAAACTAGACATGTGCTATGAAATACTTATTTAAGGCAGTTCCATGAAAATTCAGTCACTTTAGGGGGAAAAAAACAACAACACACCTAACTTTTTCTGTTCCTCAGTAAACCATTGTGTTTGATTTAGCAAAGATTTCATATACATCTGTGTAAAAGCTTAGTGGAACAGTGTTACTTTAATGACTTCATCAGAAGAGAAGAAACGGCATTATAAAAATGCCACTTGCGTTACCCTTCAACAGGGCCTCATTATCACCTCCCCTACTGTGGAACAAGGGG